ACTTGTACTTTAACATCTTTTTTGTATTTTTTTGAGAAAAATTACTCTGGATTGCACACACAACTTCAAAAATGGGCAAAAATGACATTTTTTGCACTTATAAGTTAGAATATCTCAAAATCCTGATGTGATAGAGCAATTCTGTGGCCAGATTTGAATTCAGCGCACCGAAAACCTTCGGGAAAGTATAGTCTGGTTTCTGGGTAAAAATTTTGTCGGCCTGTGTTATTATAATTACACTATGCGACAGTCAAAATCGGGATGGGATGAAACCAACGGGAAATGTTATATCGGTCAAAAACAAGTTATACGTGTCCCGGCGTTTCGCTGGGTCACGTCTAGGAATCGAGATATATATATAACTATCATATAGGGGAAATTGTCACCTTTGGTGGTCTTTTTTTGACATAACTCGAGAACCACTAGTCCGATTTTGCAGCGGAACGCCGGGACACGTATAACTTCTTTTTTACCGATATAACTTTCCCCGGTAGTTTGAACCCTTCCCGATCACTGACCCCTACCATTTGTCTCACAGTGTTATTAATACTTGAAAACAGCCAGACCCATCTGGTGGGTCAAGCATCCCCCGAACATCCTTCATGTGTATATGCACTGTACTACTTAAGTTGTTGGACAGAGCGTATGAGTAACCTCGTTAAATTTTGAGTCTCAAAATATAGTAGGTACGCATGAACGAACGAATAAAGATCATCCAGGACGGCGTGCGAGAAAAACGTATTTTTTTTGCAGTGACGTCATTTTTACGCCGCCATGTGAATGAAACGGAATGAAACCATGTGTGTGAGTGAACACATTAACAGATTAAAAAATGACGTTATCAACTACCATGATTCAATAATGAAAGGTTTTGTAAGAAAAACTTTCTCTCGCTCTAATTTTATCAATGACACTCCCACCCTATTCCTAAAAACAAAAACAGTCAATATTTTGTTAGTAGTGAAATTTTTACTTTTTAAATTTGAAGAAATGTTTGTTCTTCATTCGCTGGCGCCAACAAGACAAAATGGGTGAGAATCGTTGGACTACAGAAATTCAATGTAGGCTAAAGAGACGAAATTCCCTTAAATGCCGAAATGTATTTGTCGATATTCGTGGAGGCCTCTTGATTCTGCCAAGTCGCTGTAAAGTAAAGCGTTCAATGGTTTTGGTAAATGAGCCAACGAAGGTATTTAGGTATTGTCCTCCACAACACAATCCTGGTGTCTCCGAATGAGACTTTGACGCAATATAACATTGCCAAACCGTCACACGACAGCTCGGTTTAGTCAATGGCCCGATGTAATTGCACACTAAAAAGGTGCACGCACGAGGCGAATGTTGGCTGGCGACCAACTTTGTTGAAAGCCAAGGCGAATTTATACAAGGTGGTGTTGTAAAATCAGCTGATTTTTTCGTCTTACATGTATTTTGTTTTTGCTTTTACTGATTTGACAGCACACCCATCAAAAGCAAAAACAAAATACATGTAAACTTTGGAGCGAATTGAGATTTGACTTAACACCCTCCATACAAAATACATATGGTTGTCGTTGTTGTAATCTAAATTCGCTAGTAACACCACCTTGTATAAATTCGCCTCGGTTGAAAGCGATTAGTTGAAAGTAGAATGCAAAGTTGAACAATGCAAACGCCTTTTTATGGCGAATATTTTTATATTTTTTTATATTTTGATATTTTTAGCCATTCAAATTTTTTTTTTCGTGCAACCCGGCGTGAGTTGAACGCAAAAGTTGTCTGAAAATCGCCTCGTGCGTCGTTCAGTAGCTGCGTGTTCTTTCTATTCTGCCTGTGTTCGTCCGGCACGAATCACCAATTGCGGCTGTGTAAGCCAGTGTTGAATATTCTCTCCAGAACATTAAAAGTGCGACATCAAAGAATTCGAATTACCATATTCGAAACAATCGAGCCATAACCGCGAAAGAAACGTAAGCTCCAACGTTTTTTATTTGCCGTTTTTTTTTTGTTTAATAAATATTGCATATTTTCCACAAACAAATAGCTTCTTCATATCCATCATCTAGCAAACAAATACAACAAAAAAAAAAAAGCTGAAAGTGGACCATCCATTCTCGAGTTATGCGCCATCTCACGTACGCAAGTTTGGTATATACATAGAAATATTTATTTTTAATAACAATCGGGGGTTATACTTGATGTAAATAAGCTTGTTTAAATTAAATAATTAAATCAAATTCGTTTTTGTTTTAAAATACCACCATTCACTATTATCCACACCTTTTTATGGAATTTAACTCCCATTTTAGGAAGTGTGATTTGTCGGCCGCTGTGGTGTAGTGGTAAGCAGTGCGCGCTTCCACTCCACAATGCCTGGGTTCAAACCCTGGTCAAAGCAACATCGCAAAAATATAGAAAAAAGGTTTTTTCTTAACAGCGGTCGTCCCTCGGCAGGCAATGGCAAACCTCCGAGTGTATTTCTGCCATGAAAAACAGCTTCTCATAAAAATACAATCGCCGTTCGGAGTCGGCGTAAAACTGTAGGTCCCTCCGCTTTGTGTGACAACATCAAGGCGCACGCCACAAATCGGAGGAGAAGCTCGGCCAAACACTAACATATGTGTAAGCGCCAATCTATTATTATTATTATTATTATTGAATCCTTCCCCTTTTTCTCCTGCTTCCATAAACCATCCCTGTGGGTGGGAGTGCTAAATTTTAGAAAAAAGCTACTTACAAAACCTTTAATAATTGAATCATGATCAACTACTATTTTTTTTCTCAAATGCCATTACAAATACACGGTTGCCGTGCTGGGTGATCTGTTTAGTTGGTTCATAATAGGTACGAATGTATGTCGTCACCAGAAATGCAAAAAGACGTAACAACATCGTAAATGAAATGGAAAAGTTCGTGACTAATATTTTAATTTTTTTTTCATATAATGATGTGGGGAGTTGTAATTCGATGAAATCCATCATATAAGTCTAAAAGTGAATTTTGAATTTTTTATTAATTATGACTTTTTGCATTGCAACGATGATGTTTGTTACATCTTTTTGCATTTCAGGTGACGATATGTATGTAGGTCAGTTTCTACCTTTTTGAATATTTTGGAGCGTCCGGCAGAAGTTACTGCCGGCTAGAAGTGTCTGGCAATGCTTTTAAAATATTAATATTTAATATTTTTAAAAAATATGCGTATACACATTCATATGTAGACATGTACGAAAAAGATTAAATAAGAAGCTTTAAGCCTTGCGCACTCCAACGCGATAGCGGCAGCGATAGAGATAGCGATAGCGATTAAGATAGTACGTGCTGCGTTCGATTTCCATCGCTATCTCTATCGCGTTGGTGTGCGCAAGGCTTTATGCCGCATTACCCGGGTGGTTTTCGTTTAACCGGGTATCATCAGCCCTAGTATGTATGTGCACATATGTATGGTTTTCGTTTAACCGGGTATCATCAGCCCTAGTATGTATGTGCACATATGTATGTAGCTAAATACAGGGACGTGAACCGGATGAAAAATTTTGTCGGTTCGGTTCAGCGGTACGCACCGTTGTTGCACTTTTGGATTGGTTCGTCAAAGCGGTTTTTTGGTCTTTGAACAGGGGTTTCGGTTCGGTTCATCGGTTCGAAAAACAAAAAAATACGCGCAAATTTAAGTGTCAATTGTCAAGTGCAACAACGCGCAAGGTTAAGGGTCATGTGAGGGCTGCCACATGGTAAAAAAAACATGGTAGGTATTACCATGTTTAACAAAAAGAAAAAAAAGTGGGTACATTTATCTATTGAAAATTGGTTGAAACGAACCTTTAAATCTTTAAAGAAAGTGGTTCGGTTTTCGGTTCGGATCAAACATTTGTGGAAAATTTCGATTCGGTTAATGGTTCAGTTAATTAATAGAAAAAAGCGGTTTTCCGGTTCAAAAAAGGTTCGGTTCAAAACCGGTTCACGTCCCTGGCTAAATATAACAAAAAAAATAAATAATATAAAAAAAAAAAATTTTAATATACAACGCTTTTATAAATGGACTGAAAAGTAGAAAATAATAATTCTCAGTCCCATAGAATTGGTATTGATAACTTTTGATTTTGAAATTTTAGCAAAAGTCATTATAAACAATTTATGAGATTGAAAATGAAAAGCGTGGGGCGCATGCAATACAAAGCATTAGATTAAATTGACAATAGTCAAACTACATAACATAGACCTAAAATTTCTACAGAGAGAGTACAAATTTGAGATCGATTTTAAGCGGCCGTTATTCATATACCACATACATACATATATTACCCTTCATATCAATTGGTCTATTACATGCGCCCCACGCTTTTCATTTTCAATCTCATAAATTGTTTATAATGACTTTCAAAATCAAAAGTTATCAAAACAAATTTTATGGGACTGAGAACTATTATTTTCTACTTTTTAGCTCATTTATAAAAGCGTTGTATATTAAAAAGTTTTTTTTTTATATTATTTATTTTTTATTTTTTAGTCTTTTCTGTATAAAATTTTGCAATAGATATTAAAATAATTCAACGATATTAATAGATTGGTGCACACACATGCATATATATATGTATGTACATACATACGATCACCAATTAATTTCATTTAAAGAAATGGCGTGTCCTCCATTTTTGCTGTAGCGTAGGTAGGGCGACATCCACCTCTCGAACCAACGAGGTTCATGTCTAGACTTTATAGGAGCTTTGCAAAGCAAAGCTTTTATAGCTGTCTGGACACACAACATTGCAAGTTTATAAAAGCGTTGTAATGTAATAAATGCGATTTTTATATTTGTTTAGTGTGGGTTTGATGCACACTGCATGTTCCACGAATCTTATGCTTATATTGTAACAATGCCTTGACTATCGCCCTGAAATATGTAAATAGATAACTAACCAATATCATTTCAGGTATGATGAGAATCGCAGCCGCATCAAGAAGACCCTTTTCTGCATTCATCGTAGTGTGGCTAACATTCTTGATTTATGGAGCGCCAAATATAAAGAGAAATTCTTTGTAGATATCAAAGAACTTTCCCAAGCCAAGGAACCATATGAATTGTATGGGTTCACGGTAAGTTAAAATCACAGGATTTTTGCAATGGAACGATCTACGGCGTTTTAAACATATTTTTTCTGTATTTGTAGTATTTGTGTGGGCGTCAAATCGATTCGACCAAAGAAATGCTCGAAAAAGAATGGTACGGAGAGATACATCAGATATTATTGCGAGCTAGTAGGCGTGGTCTTTTGCCCGATGTAAGACGAATGAAATTGTTGCAACGCTTCTACAATTGTGTTGCTGCCTTAATGACTCAACAGCTAGAGGATATATGTATACGCAGCTTGACAACTTATGCTGATTTTATCTGCGATTTTGGAGTAAGTGAAATTATCGTTATATGTGTATTATAAGTAAAATTATATACATACATATGTTTTTTAACATGGTGATAATTTGCACACCGACCACAGTTAAGATTCTTGTGGCGTCTCATCTTCATCGTTCGTGGAGTACATTTAATAATGCTATATTCTATGCAACTCAAGATTTTACCTCCTACTGGACATAGCTGTCCCAGCTCTTTTAAGCGGGACTTTATTCGCTTTACATCAGCTTCATCATTTCCAAGAACAGCATTGTGGTCCAATCCCAGGACGTGAGCAGGCTTCCTACAATTAAGTTAAAAGAAAATGTAAAGTTTTGAGCCGATGTTAATTTGTGATGCGTAATCACTTGGAACCTTGATCCTTCTGAGCTTCTGAAGCTTAAAACCACTAGAGTTTTGAGACTATTCTGAAGATGACCTCTTCCCAGGGCAGTATTTTCACTTCGTTTGTTTATAAACATTTCACCACCTGTTCTTAAGAAAAACACTTCGCTTTTTTGTTTCATCGAAATTAAGTTTTTTTAAATTTGGATCCTGGACAATTCCATCAAAAAGTAGTGGAAATTTAGGGCTACTGCTACCCGCCGACCCAACCACCATACATTTTATTATTTCTCAGAGTTCTCTGCGGTAACTTTTTTACCACGTTTTGGCAAAAAAGTTATTTATTGTTTGGTTTTAATCATATATGTAATACTTCTATATTGGCAGTAAGCTAACTTCTCAATGTGTAAGCCTTCCGAAATCAAAGCGAGACAGTCTAGTACCGTTTTTGTCAATGTATTGTGTACTTGAGTGCCGTTTTTGTATATGTGTTGTGTACATGTTTATTTATAAACGTATGTATTCCTTTTCTTTCGTACGTGTTTATTGATATATCTGTAGTGTAGTGTTTTCGGACGGTACTAGCTCTTACTGCCAATATAGGAGTATTACATATATGGTTTTAATCATACCTCATCCTCTCCAGATCATAGTCATATTTACTTAAAAAAAAAAAATGTATTTAAAAAAAAGTTGAAAAAGTCATATGCCTAAGGGATATGTATATGTATTGTATATTTACCGTCTCTCTAATCTTCCCTCTAGAAATCCAACCCTGGTCTTAAGATAAGTCTTATCCTTGAAGATGAAGATAGCATCGCATTCAATCCGAACTTTTCGAAGGTACAACAAGAACTTTTACGCATTATCGAGTCCATCGTTATTTCTGTCGATCAGATGCCTCGAATCGAGAACAAACTATATACGGAGCTAAAAATCTCAGATCAATACTTTCTAAAGCCTACAATACCTGAATCGATCATTGCTAATGGTCGAAATCGCATTTGTAGTATGCTGGAGGAACAACGCATTGGCCCCGAATTACGTTTGCAAGATTTTGATCTATATATAGACTTGATGAACGGTATAGATGCTGAACGCATTTCGAAATTCGCTGCATCTGAACCAACGTTTGAACAATACTGTGACATGGTCTTACAGTATCGCAGAAAAGAGGAGCAGATCATACAAGATATTTGGGGTGAATTACGTATGGGTCTATATGAGTTTCATCGTGAAAAATTTATAAACAACTTGGAGCAGTTCGCTCGCTACATGCAACAAGACCTGCTAGAGAAAATGGTTGCTGATCAGCAGTCGCAAATCTCAAAATTAGGCAAAGAGTATGAAGCTATCGCCAAGAAGGCAATTACAGTGCCACAGACAACAGCTGAGCTGATGGCACTCAAAGAATTCGTTATCAATGCGGAGGAGACAGTTATACCGGAAATGGAACAGCGCCTGAAAGTGGTAAGTTTTTACCGAATTAAATGAGTTTCACTTGCCAAACTCCGCTTTTTGAAATATCTTAAATTTAAGTGTCGAAACACTTGGCGTAGTCACAACTTATTATCTTTATAATAACTTTATATAAGTTTTATAATAACATTTATTTGAATTTATATTGTAAAGGCAATTCTAAATTTATTATACATTACTTAATTGCTTCTCTCAACGTTTTGTTAATGGAGTTAATGCGGACCCACCGTTCGTGTCCGGTGACATTTTTATTTGCTCTCAAAACATTTTTGCCGGAGACGTTGCTGAAGTACGGATGACCGTTCAGTTCGGCACATTTTATTTTGTTCTGAATAACACAGCTCATGATATTGTTGCCTACATATGTATTTATATACGAAACTATGATTTTGAGGGCAAATAATACATACAATTCGCTGCAAAACGCATATAAAGGACAACGCGCGCGACCCTAAACATCAAGTCATTCGGAAAGAAAATATAAACCAATTTGATTCGAACAAAGAGTGTTCAGCACATTTTGGTCGCGCTGTCTGTGTGACGTTTCGCTCAAGCGTACCAAAATGTAAGCCGCAAATATTAGGTTAGCCTGTAACTACCCTGCAGTAAAATTTAGAGACAGTCTCTTAAAGCGCTAGTTCCGCCCTACACATTTCAGAACCACCTCTGATCTACTGCAAAACGGCTGCAGAGAGGGACAGTTAAAACTTTCGGTGTGTTAGCTGTGCTCTGTTGAGAAGTAAATGCACAAATTCGCACTTCCCGTACAATACGAAAATAGCTCAGCGGGAAGACCTCCGACTCTAACATCGTTGGTCACGAGTTCAAATCGCGGTGGAGGCAGTTGTGATTTTCAGATTTAAGAAATTTAAATTAATGAGTGCCGCTTAAAAATTGAAGAGAAAGTGATCAAATTTAATATAAACAAAATAAATAAAAATTTAATAGAATGCAATCTCTAAAAGAACAGAAAAAACGAAAAAATATAAAAAAATCTAATAATCAGAATTTTTTTACATAAAAAACTTATTGTCGCAGATGTGTCCAAAATGGAACCAGTGCAGAACTAGTTCAAAAGTTCTGCAGAGGGGAGCAATTTCCACTTCGTAGGACATCGCCATGTAAAAAGGGACAGTTGAAAGCATTGCGTTGGGATAGATCGAGAACCAGTACCACCTCTTAAAAGGCTAGTTCTGCGCTAGTCTTGAACTAGCGCGATTTACTGCAGGGTACTTTTATACATATGTGTGTATGCAAATACATACTTATGTACGTATGGGGCAATCTACGAAACCTTTTATTTTTCAATTAAATAAAACTGTGTTAAAATTTGTGAGGCACACAGATTCGCTTTGACAGATAAGATGAATTGTATGAAAATGCACAAAGCATGCGACATAGATCATTGAAGCTGCAGCGCGAAGCGAAAAGATGGCCAACTCCCATCTTTTTGCGCGCTTTGAGAATCAGCTGGTTTAATATTTATATTGTTTCGTGCAAAATCGAGTTTTTATTTAGAAACATAAAACTTAATTACATTGGTGATATTTTTAAAGTAAAATACATATGTATATAAAATACACAGCAACTTCGACGAGTAAAAAAGCAGTACAAAATTGCTTTCTTGGCGTTCATTGTGGCATACCTTTTGAATTTGCCGCTTTGCCNGCAGCGCGAAGCGAAAAGATGGCCAACTCCCATCTTTTTGCGCGCTTTGAGAATCAGCTGGTTTAATATTTATATTGTTTCGTGCAAAATCGAGTTTTTATTTAGAAACATAAAACTTAATTACATTGGTGATATTTTTAAAGTAAAATACATATGTATATAAAATACACAGCAACTTCGACGAGTAAAAAAGCAGTACAAAATTGCTTTCTTGGCGTTCATTGTGGCATACCTTTTGAATTTGCCGCTTTGCCGGCAAAGTTATAAATGTCACGCAAAGCCACAATGTTTTATCTGGCATCAGTTTAATACATCTGCGTTGCCCGTTTTTAATGATGCCTAAAAAAAATGTCGTCAAAAATTCAAACTTTTTTTAACCAACTTCAAAAAAAGGAGAAGGAGGTTATCAATTCGTCGGAATATATATTTTTTTTGTTTTGTTATGTATGTATGTTACCGCATAACTTTGGACAACGTCGACCGATTTCGAAAATTCTATCGGAAAGGTAGTGTCTCACAGACGGTCCCACACTAATTTGGTTAAAATCCGATAATTGGATGATGAAAAAATTAACGGTGCTCCTAAAGTTTTATATGAGAATTGAAGTCGGTTGTGTTTTTTGCATAAAAATTACTTGTTAANCCAATAAAACCATAAAAACGTAATTTTTTTCATTCGTTCTGGATTAGGGCCATAGAACGTCGCGCGATTAACAAACTATATGTAGGATTTGCCCCTTAGACTATGAGTTAAAGATATATTTAGCTTTTTGCCCCTACAGTAAAATATGTTTTTTGGTCGTTAGCAGGTTTACACTCTAAGGCGACGATATGTACAATGAAGTGCAAGCTTAAATTGTCTTTAAAACATCGTTGAATTTTGGCAACTTTTGTTTGTTGACGATGTTGAGCATTTTCTTCCGTATGGGAGTTCTCAATTAGTTCGAACTGTCGCATGACTCGACAGTTTTTATTCGGACACATAATTTTCGCTCCTTTATTAACAAAAAGCAGGTTAAGTACGTTGTGTAGATTATGTAAATCTAAAAAAAGGACGTTCGTACATAANACTTAATTACATTGGTGATATTTTTAAAGTAAAATACATATGTATATAAAATACACAGCAACTTCGACGAGTAAAAAAGCAGTACAAAATTGCTTTCTTGGCGTTCATTGTGGCATACCTTTTGAATTTGCCGCTTTGCCGGCAAAGTTATAAATGTCACGCAAAGCCACAATGTTTTATCTGGCATCAGTTTAATACATCTGCGTTGCCCGTTTTTAATGATGCCTAAAAAAAATGTCGTCAAAAATTCAAACTTTTTTTAACCAACTTCAAAAAAAGGAGAAGGAGGTTATCAATTCGTCGGAATATATATTTTTTTTGTTTTGTTATGTATGTATGTTACCGCATAACTTTGGACAACGTCGACCGATTTCGAAAATTCTATCGGAAAGGTAGTGTCTCACAGACGGTCCCACACTAATTTGGTTAAAATCCGATAATTGGATGATGAAAAAATTAACGGTGCTCCTAAAGTTTTATATGAGAATTGAAGTCGGTTGTGTTTTTTGCATAAAAATTACTTGTTAAATTTAGAATTTTTTTCAGTATGCAGTTTTATATTCCGTTCAATTTAAGTACATATCGTCGGCTTAGAGTGTAAACCTGCTAAATCCGTTTTTTGCAAAATTGACCTTTTGGTGCAGTTTGAAGGAGTAGGCGATTCCGCAGTTGGCAAGCAAAAAAATACGTCAATATAAAAATATAATTGTCAAAAATTGTTTGATGAGTGAAGCTGCTAAGTACAATCAGTTCAAATTCAACTGCTAAATCCAACATATTGTGTTTCTGTCGCTCGATTATTGTTCTATCTTAGAGTATTACTTTATGCGTTTAAGCCAAGGTAATATCCAGCGAATAAGCTTTAATTTTTAATATCTCAAGGAAATTATTGTTACCTGTGGAACGAAACNTATTGTTGATCAACTTAATACTTTATTTAAACATAAGGGTTGCTCACAGTTCGAGTGTGTTATCTTGTTAAAGTTGCCACCTTTTAACTTTAGAAGCAAACTGTGAGTACCCTAAATGTGTTTCTGTCGCTCGATTATTGTTCTATCTTAGAGTATTACTTTATGCGTTTAAGCCAAGGTAATATCCAGCGAATAAGCTTTAATTTTTAATATCTCAAGGAAATTATTGTTACCTGTGGAACGAAACAGAAAGAAGATTAAATGCAGAAGAGTTTTCCAGCGTGTGGTTAGATTTGATAGAAAAAATGTAGTACCAGATAATAGTTCCGGGGAGCCAATTACAGCAATTTTTTATAGCGACGAATGCACATATCAAAACCGAAACAGTAGTAGTAGTAGTAGTAGTAGTAACAGAGCCCTACGGTATACANGTCAATATAAAAATATAATTGTCAAAAATTGTTTGATGAGTAAAGCTGCTAAGTACAATCAGTTCAAATTCAACTGCTAAATCCAACATATTGTGTTTCTGTCGCTCGATTATTGTTCTATCTTAGAGTATTACTTTATGCGTTTAAGCCAAGGTAATATCCAGCGAATAAGCTTTAATTTTTAATATCTCAAGGAAATTATTGTTACCTGTGGAACGAAACAGAAAGAAGATTAAATGCAGAAGAGTTTTCCAGCGTGTGGTTAGATTTGATAGAAAAAATGTAGTACCAGATAATAGTTCCGGGGAGCCAATTACAGCAATTTTTTATAGCNATAAAATAGAAACAATTTTATTCATATAAAAAACCTGCTAAATCCACTTCAATTTTGAAAATACATAAGCTAAAACCTGCAAAGTTGGAAATTCGCCAATAAAACCATAAAAACGTAATTTTTTTCATTCGTTCTGGATTAGGGCCATAGAACGTCGCGCGATTAACAAACTATATGTAGGATTTGCCCCTTAGACTATGAGTTAAAGATATATTTAGCTTTTTGCCCCTACAGTAAAATATGTTTTTTGGTCGTTAGCAGGTTTACACTCTAAGGCGACGATATGTACAATGAAGTGCAAGCTTAAATTGTCTTTAAAACATCGTTGAATTTTGGCAACTTTTGTTTGTTGACGATGTTGAGCATTTTCTTCCGTATGGGAGTTCTCAATTAGTTCGAACTGTCGCATGACTCGACAGTTTTTATTCGGACACATAATTTTCGCTCCTTTATTAACAAAAAGCAGGTTAAGTACGTTGTGTAGATTATGTAAATCTAAAAAAAGGACGTTCGTACATAATTTCAAGCCAAATATGCATATAATTCAGAAATAAAATTGGGAAATTTTCACAAATAAA